CTCATTGCTCAGTAAGCCGTGAAGATTTTTCATTCTCATCCCACTCTCAGTTGGATTTTCTGGCACTCTTCCTGCATTGAGTCTCCTGATTACTGAACAGAGCTCCGTGGTGTAGCCCGCTGAGGAATGGAATGGAGATGTCCATGGGAGGTCCTGATGTCATCACTGCATGCAGGTGTGAAAGGAGAGACCTCTTCTGCACCGCCTGGCTACCTCACTCCTCTGCTGGTAGCAGTGCCTATAGCTGGACCTAGGTTCTCAGAAGCATAGGTGTGCAAACACGAGATTGAGTTGGGCTTCAGGACAGACACATCATAGGAGAGAATCCAGGGTCTCTAAGCTGGTTTTCTTTTCAGGCAAACATCCTGAGGGGCCTGTAAGCAGGGGAGTTCCTTTTTCTAGTTTGCCTGTAGAAGTGGGAAGACTGTTGATGTTTCTGTCCTTTACAGGACTTTAGAAAACAGTTGTATAATTACATGCTGGGAATCTTCACCACACCAGGGCAAATTTCCAAATAGCTCATTTTATTGTAGGTCTTTCAAACTTTCATGTGACATACTTCCCTTTCCCATTGTTGCTGATTTCCAAATCGCTGTCAGCAAGTTTTTCCTCTCCCCTTGCCTATTCTTCACTCATTTGGTGGCAAAGGTAATAGAACTAGGGGTCTTGGAAGATGCTTTGAAAACATTTTTACAAAGGCACTGCTGAAATGATTCACAGGAAGGGTGGCCAGTTGGAAGAAGGATCCTGAGGATGTGACACTGGTTATCAACAACATGCTTAGAGAACTCTTGAAGTGGATTGGGTGTCAACCCAGTGAACATAGTGTTTTGATTTAATTTATTTTTTGAAGTTTATGTGGTGATGGTGTGGCTTTCTGAAATGGGAAAATATTCAAAAGATCGTTTGCATTTTCTTCTGCCAGGAGTGGGGGAGGGGAGTGGGGGCACAGTCTGAGAAAGGACACCTGTGTTGTTCTAGGCATCCCTGGCAAGTTTGTGGGAAGGGATGGGTGAGGGTGAGTGGGTTTGTTCCGCACCGTCCTGTGCTGCTCGAGAGGACCTGGGACGTGCGAGGGAAACATGGGTGACAGGGTGCCCAGGCTGCAGCCCTTCGCTGCTGTGCTGGGTTCCTGCAGCCTGCCATGTTTCCCTTGGCAATGTAAATGAAGATGGAGGGGTCATTTCATGATTTCCTGCTGCTGAGAATAAATGTCTTGTTAAAAACATGTGGCAGCGGTTACTCTTAGGTGCCATGGATCGACGTCAGGGTGGTCAGCTTCGGACTAAGCCACCCACCTCCAATTTGTACAACAGTATTGATACATAGGGCTACACTCATTACTGTTCAAGTGTTCTATGTTAAAAGTTGTGTTTAATTTCTAAAGATTAAAAAAAAGCAAAAAAATTGGTGCTAAACCTTCACCCCTGAGGACGCTCAGTGAGACTGGTCATGCAAGCATTTACAGTGCCATGCTCCTCAAGCCGATTTTTTCTTGTGGAAATGTTGCCCTATTTGTCTTCCCCAATGTATGGTATGTTTTTTTATTTTATTTTATTGAGGCAGGGTAGGATACCTGCCATTTAAAAAAATGAATAGAAAACTTTAAAACCCAAGAAATGGGGAAAAAAAAAAAATCAGTGCACAAGAATTGGGCTGGTTAGGCCCAGCACCACACTGAAGTGGGCTCAGTGGTTTTTGGAGTGAAGAAGCCTTACTCCCCGCACATTCCCTCATGCCCCCACGCAAGTCCAGCAGTGGAAATGCTTGGGTTCCTCTTGCCTTGTCAAGGGGACTCAGGAGACGACCAAGGGAAACCATTTGGCCCCAGCAGGAATGGGCATTGTCAGTATCCGTCCTGAACGGGGCCTAGTCAGGAAGCAGTCTAGAAGTGTATGGTCATGGTCACCTCATGAAAGTGTGTGGCAGGTGGCTCTCAGGAAAAATACCAAGTCTGGATCATCCATGTGGCAGCTTTGCATAGTGAGAGGACAGCTCCAAACTGCAACTGAACTGCCTTCTGCACGCTTGACCAAAGCAGTGATGAGGGTGGCCAGTACCTGCGGTGTGAATGGTAGGTTTAAAGAAAAGGGAATGTTTTCTGCTGAGTGTTTCCTTTGTCCTTGGGCTGCTCAAGCTGGACAGTAGGTAACCACTGTTTGCAAGGAACCAGCCCAACTTCTCTGGCTTGGTTCGGAGTTTGTTTCATCCCTAGCTGTGAGTGCCTTTTGGTCTGGAAAGTTGGCTTGTCTCATAATACCCACAGCTAGGACATTCTCTCTGTAATTATGAATTGTCCTTGTTTTACATTAAAAGAGAATGTCTTTGATCACTAGAGTTCGTCAGTGTTGGATTATTTCCACTGTGAGATTCTTAAAACTTTTTCGCTTCATAAAATAATAAAACAACTCATGTTAGAGACCCTTTCAAAATGAAAGGTTTGTAGTTGAGACATTACATATATTTTATTGTTTATAATAAAAATCATCTATACAAAAGAAGTCCTGGGTGTTAATATTTTGCACAAGATCTGTTTTCCATGATGTGTTGACATCTACAATTTCACTAACTGTTGATGTTATTTTCTATTGAGATTCTGGAGCCTAGGGAGCTATGTGTTCTTTTTGTTCATTTTGTTCTTTTTTCCCTGAAGCAAGAGACTATATGGCCTTCAGTGCAAAGACTTCAGACCAATTCTTTGTATTACACTTGGTTGCCTCTTGGCTATATAACTTCTGAGTGCAAATCATTGAACTCTTTAATGAAGTATTGTAGAGAATAAATCATAATGGATAAAAATTGTTTTGTCCTGCCTCTTTTTTAAACCTGTGGCTTGATTCATATGGAATGTTGGTAACAGTTGTCTTATTTTTGAAGATAGCCGACAAGCTAGTATTCGGTCAGCTTGGATATTTCGTGTGGTGCTCATAGCCCCACCCTGTATATTTTTGTGGTTGGTAGCAATGCCACTGGTGGCATAGAGCCAAGTTTCGTGAGCAATCATTCATTAGCCCTTTAAGATTTGGGTTTTTCCAGAAAGGCTCATTGTTCTCATTAGATTTTCAGATGAGACTAACCTTGCCAAAAAAGCAAAAATCTCTTGAAGAGGGGAAAAAAAACCCACTATTATATGTATCTCATATATATATATATATATATATATACACACACATATGTAAAATAACAGTGATGTTAATTAATTCAATCAAAGCCCCTGGGACATACTGGTGCAGTCAGACCTAACCAGTGAAGTTTTGTTTTTGGATGGCCCAGGAAAGATGAGATGTGTTTGGAGAAAAGGACATCTTCAGTTTACACTTCTTTTTTTTTTTTAACTTGGTAAAAATAATTCCGTATTCCATTTGGGCAGCATTCTGGGGTCTGCTTGTCCCTCCCTGGCTTCAGCCCCCTAGCCCAACCCATCCGAAGATCCCCAGTTGACATCATTTGCAGAGAGAATTTCTTTTCTTCCTTTTTTTAAGGTACTCCATTCTGAGGCCCTTAGCACTTAGCAAAACTCAAAAACACATGGCTGCAGGTAAAAACGTGCTGTCAGGGTTAGGTGATTTTGGAAATTGACTACAAGCAGCTGATTAGATGTTTATAGGCTTTGTTAATAACTGGTGTGTGTGAAGAGGAATTCTTTGTTTCTTCAAGAGAAGTTAATGTTCTAGAGATTACATTCCATACTACTTATAATAGTACCCGTAATTTGTTTAATTACAGGAATTGCATGGAATTCCCTATAACTGATTTTGCGGGGCGGGGAGGAATTGGTGATAAGGCAAAATTTTCTATTTTAGCCATCACTGTTGACTTCTGGAGTGTGAAATAAACCGTCTGATCAGAGATCAGTGGTGCTAATTCTTCTGGGAGTGGGGTTGGGGGAGGTGCTCTACAGCTGCTTCTAGATCAATCTAGATCTGTAACTGGCTTGAATAATCTGAAAAATTAAGTTTTCAGTGAGGTGAGGCCTCACTGTGTTATCCAGGCTGGTCTCAAACTCCGGAGCTCAAGCCATCATCCAGGCTTGGCCTCCCAAAGTGCTCGAATTACAGGCCTGAGCCACTGTGCCCGGCCCAATTCATTTTTTATTAAATCAACGGAGTTTACAATATGACCATCTAAACATTGTTGCCTAATAAGCTATGATTATTTCCTTTATTGTACAGCGTTTTGTTTTCTCCAGTGTTGAAAACAGCATTATTTTTCATTTGCTTTTTTTTTTCTTTCTTTTTTTGAGGCAGAGTTTCGCTCACTCGCCCAAACTGGAGGGCAGTGGCATGATCTCAGCTTACTGCAACCTCCACCTCCCGGGTTCAAGCGATTTTCTTGCTTCAGTCTCCCGAGTAGCTGGGATCACAGGCGCCCACCACCACGCCCGCCTAATTTTTGTATTTGTAGTAGAGATGGGGTTTCACCCCGTTGGCCAGGCTGGTCTCAAACTCCTGACCTCAGGTGATCCGCCCGCCTCGCCCTCCCAAAGTGCTGAGATTACAGGCGTGCGCCTCTGCGCTCAGCCATCATTTGCTTAATTTTCTACGCATCACCCAAATGTTCCAACAGACGTGTGGTTAAAGTCTTCGAATATCATTGTCCGCATGCTCAGAAGTATCAGATATCCCCCAGAAATCAATACAATTTTAAAAGTTTAAGTCAGTGAAGGAAATTGGACCGGGCGCGTTCGGAGTCGCCAACCCTGCTCTCCATCAGCAGGCGTTCCTGCATCTCATCTGACCCTCTCTGCCCAGAAAGGCTTAGGGGCTGCCCCTAAGCTTAGGGACGTCCGCTCGGCGAGGCGCATTGGAGAAGAAAGAGGGAGTGCGGCAGACCCCGACCCCATACAGGGCACCCCTCGGCGGCTAGGAGTTTCCCAGACCTCATCAACTGGTCCTCTAGCCGCGCCCGGCCAGGCCAGCACTCCCTGCCCCGCCCACCCCATCAGCGCCCCGCCCACCCCATCAGCGCCCCGCCTATCACGCCCCTTCCGCTGCCGTTCTCCACGCTTCCGCTTCCGGTGGCGTGGGTGGTGTTGGGCGGCGCGGCGATGGCTGCTGGCGGCAGCGATCCGCGGGCTGGCGACGTAGAGGAGGACGCCTCACAGCTCATCTTTCCTAAAGGTTGGGTTCGGGCTGCCAGACTCTCCCGTGCCACTTCGCGTGGTCCCGTCAGGCCTGGCCTTATCGGTGCTTCGCCGGAGGCCTGGCCTCAGCGGCGGCTTAGGCCAACCCCAGCGCGTTGTAGTGCTGGGGAGGGAACTGGGAGGTGCCTCCTGACCAAGTGGGTTATTTTATGTGATAACAGACTGTGAAGTTCCGGGGGGTTGTGTTAAAGATAACTAAAGCCGGACACTCAGGTGGCAAGGACAGATTTTAAACAGTAACTGTTGCACTATGGAAAAGAGTCCAGCGTGAAGCAAACTCAGCTTCGATTAGTACAAAACCTCTGGGCGTTTTAAGGGAGAATTAGGGAATAGGTTGTGGTGAGCAGGGGCTCAGGGGAGTCAGGGAAGTGAGATATTTAAAAAAGCGGGAAGTCGAGGGTTGGTCCGTGTGAACCCACCGTGGTTTGTTGACTGGCGCACCTATCGAAGTTAGGCCCCTACCGTTCCCGTGAGACGGAGACAGAGGGCTATCTTCAGCTGTTGACTAGAACAAACAAATTATTTTGGTAGCCTTCAGTTTTCTCAGGCACGCACTTTAAGCGGTTTATGGTGACCAAGGGGAGGCTATTCTTAGGGATGAGGTCTTCAGCTCAAAAACTTTACAATATATTGTATACAGCTATCTTACTCTTTATTGATTGAGATAGGGTCTCGCCTTGTTGTCGAGGCTGTAGCATAGTGGCAAGATCAGAGCTCACTGCAGCCTCAACCTCTCGGGCTCAACCTCCCAAGTAGCTAGGACCACAGATACATGCCCCGATACCTGGCTCATTAAATTTTTTTTTTTGTAAAGACAAAGCCTCACTATGTTGCCTAGGCTGGTCTCAAACTCCTGAGCTGAAGTGAGCCACAGCACCTGACCTATCTTACTCTTTTATTTTTATTTTATTTTATTTTATTTTTTGAGACAGAGTCTTGCTTTGTTACCCAGGCCGGAATGCAATGGTGCGATCTCGGTTCACTGCAACCTCCGCCTCCTGAGTTCAAGCATTTCTCTTTCCTTAGCCTCTGGAGTAGCTGGGATTACAGGCGCGTCCAGGCCCTGCTAATTTTTGTATTTTTAGTAGAGATGGGGTTTCACCATGTTGACCAGGCTGGTCTTGAATTCCTGACCTCGTGATCCGCCCACCTTGGCCTCCCAAAGTGCTGGGATTACAGGTGTGAGCTACCGCGGGCACCCTCTTATTCTTTTAATGGGGTAGATAGTACTTATGATTGTACCTTAATGCTGTTTTTCTATTGTTAGAGATATAAGTTACTTCCAGTGTTTGGAGTGTTTTCTGGTTTTTTTTTTAGAGACAGGGTATCACTGTGTTTCCCAGGCTGGACTGCCGTGGGTATTCGCAGGCTCAATAATAGCGCACTACAGCCTCAAACTCCTGGGCTTAAGCAGTTCTTCTGCAGCCTCCCAATAGCTGGGACTGGTGGTGCCCAGCCTCCTTTCAGTTTTTTATTTATAGAATGAGGGTCATATGTTTCCGTAGGCAGATTTATTAAAGTTTTTGGCGTGATAGAAATAATAGTTTCTTTTTTAAGGGATAACTAAAAAGATGCTTTTCTTAATTTGATGATACACAGATTTTTTTTGTACCTGGGTTTTGTGTAGGTACTTTTTGCTTAGTGAGTTTTTATTACACTCTGCAAATAATTTTTGATGAAATCAGGTAGTGTCTGGTACACATGAAAATTTTGCTGAATTGGATACAGTTGACTGTGGACAACACAGGCTTGAACTGCACGGTCCACTTATACGCAGGGCTTTTTCCAATCAAACTTGGATCAGGATGTGAAACTGGGGATACAGAGGGCAGGCAGGCTTTTTGTATGTGAGTTCTGCAGGGCCAACTGTGGGACTTCAGTATGCTTAGAATTTGGTATGTGTAGAGGTCCTGGAACCAACTCCCTGATTAGACTGAGGGACAACTGTAATTGAGTCTTAGATCCTATCAAGTAACAGGGCCAGAGTTCTGTATATCTGTCTTTAGTGTCTCATCTGATATAGACATGTGAAATGTTTATTATGTAGCGCAAAGACAGAGGACATTGGTGTTGGATAAGCCTAGGCAACACAGGAAGACCCAGTCTCTAAAAGAAAGTGAGTGGTGGCATGCGCCTGTAGGCCCAGCTCCTCAGGAGGCTGAAGCAAGAGAATCACTTAAGCCCAGGAGTTGGAGGCTGCAGTGAGCTCTGACCACACTAGTGCATTTCAGCCTGAGTAACTGAGACCCCTGTCTCTAGAGAAAAAAAGAAAAAAATCTATATATAGTTAGTTATGAGAGATGGAGTCTTGCTCTGTGGTCCAGGCTGGAGTACAGTGGCGCAATCTTGGCTCATGTCAACCTCTGCCTCCTGGGTTCAAGTTATTCTGCCTCAGCTTCCCAAGTTGCTGGGACTACAGGCATGCACAACCATGCCCGGTTAATTTTTGTATTTTTAGTAGAGACGGGGTTTCACTATACGGGGTTTCAAGACCAGCCTGGTCTTGAACTCCTGACCTCAGGTGGTCTGCCTGCCATGGTCTCCCAAAGTGCTGGGATTAAAAGTTTAAGCCATCGTGCCTGGCCCTCAAGTGATTCTTGATTATCCTGTCTCAGCCACCCAAGTAGCTGGGATTACAGGCACGCACCACCACACCCGGCTAATTTTTGTATTTTCGGTAGAGCTGGGCTTTCAGCTTGTTGGCCAGGCGGTTTTGAACTACTGACATCAGGTGAGCCACCCATCTTGGCCTCCCAGAGTGCTGAGATTACAGGTGTGAGCCATCACACCTGGCAAAATGATAAATTTAAGATTAAAACAAAAATCCTGTCCTCTAAAATAAAAATATAAAAATGAAAAAAGGTTATGTATTTTTTATATTTTATAGTTTAGTACTTTAGAACTTACTATTTTAGTTTTTAATTTATTTAATTTATTTTAAAAATATTTATTTATTTGAGACAGTGTCTCACTCTGTCACCTGGGCTGGAGTGCAGTGGCACAAGCTCGGCTTACTGCAACCTATGCCTCCTGGGTTCAGGCAATCCTGCCTCAGCCTCCCCAGTAGCTAGGACTATAGACACCCCCCACCATGCCCAGCTAAGTTTTGTATTTTTAGTAGGCTCAGGGTTTCACCATGTTGGCCAGGCTGGTCTTGAACTCCTGGGCTCAAGCGATCTGCCTGCCTGCCTTGGCCTCCCAAAGTGTTAGAAATTACAGGTGTGGAGCTGGGCGCAGTGGCTCACGCCTGTAATCCCAACACTTTGGGAGGCAGAGGCAGGCAGATCATGAGGTCAGGAGTTTGAGACCAGCCTGACTAACATGGTGAAACCCCATCTCTACTTAAAATACAAAATTAGCCATGTATAGTGGCGCATGCCTGTAATTCCAGCTACTCAGGAGACTGAGGCAAGAGAATCACTTGAAACCCGGGAGGTAGAGGTTGTGGTCAGCCGAGATCCAGCCTGGGCAATAAGAGCGAAACTCCATCTCAAAAAAAAAAAGAAAAAGAAAAAGAAATTACAGGTGTGAGCCACTGCACCTGGCCTATTGGTGATCCTCCGTAAAATTTCCAGATGACATACTGGCCAAGGAATTGTTTTTCCTTTTTTAGGAACAGGGATTAATAAATTATGGCCATTGTTCTTAAAATATCTGCACAAGAGAGAATAACATGCAGATCCCCTGATCTATTTCCTTTTGTTTCCAAATGAATTGTGTGTGCTTTCCCTTGAAAATGTTCCTTGGGATTAGCGGTGGGGAGAAATCGTGGATCCTTCCTCTCCATAGTTACACAAAAGTGTCTGAACTGCCTTCTCTACCCCGTTTTGTTGATGCTAAATCCTGGGAATGCTTCCTGAAAGCTCTGTGATAGATCTCACACACCGCTTTCCTAGGCCCTCTGAGTCACAGTTGGACTGCCTTGACCTTCCTTGGCTGAAGGGAGTCACGATAATGTATTAGCAGTATTTGGGTATTGCTCTTAATGAGAAATAGGGACAGTTGACTCGTTTCCTGGTGTCCTAAAAGTTACATTCCATTTAACAAGTAATTTCGGTTTAGTGCAGAAAGAGAGACATCTCTTTTTTGAGACACAGTTTCACCCTTGTTGCCCAGGCTGAGTGGGGCATGATCAGTCGACATGATCTCAGCTTACCGCAACCTCCGCCTCCTGGGTTCAAGCGATTCTCCTGCCTCAGCCTCCCGAGTAGCTGGGATTACAGGCTTGTGCCACCACACCTGGCTAATTTTTGAGTTTTTATTAGAAACAGAGTTTCACCATGTTAGGCTGGTCTTGAACACCCGACCTCAGGTGATCCACCCACCTCGGCCTCCCAAAAGTGCTGAGATTACAGGCATTAGCCACCGCGCCCAGCCTGGGAGGCATCTCTTAACATTGATTTTTCCAGGACCTGTAAAAGCATCAAAGTTCCAACAAGTGGATTTGTAACTGATTAGCTGCTTCTTCCCCTTTTTTGTGGCCTGATGTCATTTATTACTGTCACTTCAGAGTTTGGATGTCCTGCTATAGAATGCCTTTTCCTATACTCATTGCTGTGAGGCAGTTGTTTCTTCTGTACCTACACTGCCTCAGTGTTAAAGATTAAAAGAGGTAACTTTCCTGGTATACGAATAGGTATTCACTGTCGTACATCCCCTATTGTAAGGTAGAAAACTGAAAAAGAAGATATTCTGAGATTTTTGTTTAAACTCTCCTGCACTTGGGTAGAAAATAGCTTTTGGTT